TCACCATTTAAATGTTAGCATTCTTGATACAATGCTAGAGCATTACTGTACTGTTAAGGAAGAATAATGAAGATAATAACTGTGATTTTCCTGGAGATACTGGAATAAATCCTACAGCTCTCTTCTGCTAATAGTGATGCTTTCTGTTAATCCATAAAGCCCTTCCACTGACTCAGGAGTCTCTTCCAGCCGTGGAATGCTCCATACACCAGAGGAAAGCTCCACCAATAATGGAATGGATTTGAAGGATTGTTCTTTCCTTTGCTTCATGTTGCAACTACTTTCCAAAGCTTTTGTTGTGATACAGTGGCCCCGGTCACACGGGCCGGATATCGCGGGGGGAGGCATGGCTAATTGCCCCGGAGGAAACTAACGCGCAGCCACCCGAGCACACGTCCCGGTCGAGGTCCCGTGGTTCAGGGGAAATGCCGATCAGATGGGTATCCTGCAGCGCAGCACAGAAGCCACGCCGCGGGAACGCACTAGAAATCGCTTTTTGTGCGCATGCACTGTTGCGCAAACTGCGGAGACGAAAAGCGGTGGGCGCCGGATGCTACGTAAGTCCACCGGGAACGTGATCAGATGCCCGCCCTTGGCCCGCGGTTTCAGGAAACTAGTACCTCGTAGGTACTAGTTTTTAACTCCGCACCTTCGGCGGGGAGCCACGGGTTCGCCATGGGAGCACTGCGCTTCCCAGATGTTGGGGTGAGATCACGCCCGGAAAATCCGCGGGACTCCCGTGCCTCTCCCGCGGCAACTTTGCCGTGTGACTGGGGCCAGTATCTATCTACCATAATATAATTTTATAAAGAATTTAAGAAAGTGTTAATTAAATTAAAGAACAGAATACAGCAGCATGATAAATATGTGAAGGTAAATCATTGTAAGAGGAACTAGGACTGAACTGAAGCAAATGAGCAAGTGAGGTAGAGATTCACAGTTTTCCCAGAAGTTTCACCACATGTTCAAAATGTAAACCATGGTGAAGTGCCTGAATACTTCCTGTATCATTTATTTTGTGTTGCCATGATGACATTGGCATATAATACGTCCCTGGAAGCCTCTCTGCAACATTTCTTACCAACCAATCTGTACTCAAATTCACCTTCAAGCAATGCAGTCACCGTGTTAAACAACACAAAAGACAGTTAAAAATGCACTGAAAGAAGCCCTTACAGTGCCGTCTTAAGCAGAGTTTTATTTTATTTTGTATTTATGTTATTTATACTCTGCCTTCCTTAATGACTCAAGGAGGATTACACAGAGTGATTCAATGCAATCAACAAGATGGGACAGTCAAGAAACAATGAGATAGGATTTGGATTGTAGATCCAATCAGAAGTCTAAAAAAGAGAACTGAAGTAAAGCACAAGTGTCAACATGACACAAATGATGCAAAATTACATAACTGACCCAACTTGGTGTAAACTATACACAATACTATAGATCACAATCCCTAATCATTTATCCAAGTAACTTTGTGAAGCCTTTTGTATACTGTTACCCCACTGCCCACATAGAAAAGCCCTCTTGAGCAATGCAGTTTTGCATATTTTGCAGCAAGCCAAGGCAATGGGAGCCTTCCTAAACTCCTCAGGCAGGCTTAGAATTTGGCTCAGAAGGGTGTAACTGTGTGTCAGAGGGCACTGTGAGTCATCCCTCAATTGTCATTTTAATTCCAGCAACCCGTCAACATGCATGACTGATCTAGTATGACACCAACCAGCTAGCCAGGTCTGATATGAATAATAGTACTTTACAGATAGGGAGTGAAGGACTGCTTTATGATAGATTTTTAATTGAGAACTAAGTGCAGTGCACAAAATGTATTTATTTAAAACACCCTTGCACCACCTTTCCACCAAACAGGGCACCCTAAAATAGTAAGTGGACATGCACTGTGCCGTTTGTGAACATAGGAGAGTGGGCACAGAATGCTTTTCATATTGTTGCTAATGAGCAATGATCATGCAAGCAACGTGATCTACACACATACATTTACAGCACAGGAGAGTTAAAAAACCTCACAAGCAGACACACACGTACAAGTAGGAAAATCTTGAAGTCTGGATGAACAATATTTCACAAAAACTGAAACAGCAGTACCAAACTGAGGGGGGGGGGATCCAAAAGGAAAACTAATAGCTGCACAAGAAACACACACATATATATTGTTCTGCTCTAAGCTGAAAACTCAGTTTACTATCCAATAATATTTTACCCAGGACCAGCCACAGCGGTTGGACTTGGATTAGTATTTTCAGGCTCTGCAATGGATTTCCATATAAATATATTTATACATATTTATATAAGACATTTACCAGTTTTTTGGGATGTGACATCTTTCCATTTTTATATTCACAATATTAAAAAACTGAATTGTTTCCTACCTTATAGCAAGAAGATCACTCCTTGAAGACATTTTTAAAAGTTCTAATCACTGATTTATTTTTCATATCTCATCCTTTCCATAGCCATCACAGACACGGAAGGGAATTGTCACTGTGAATTAAATCAACACAGCACAAGATCTTTAATTTTCGGTGCTCTACAATTGTTTATGTTTTTCTATTTCAGCACAGTTATTGGTTCAAGCAATACCTTCTCTCTGCGTCACATGTACTTGAACAGGAAGTGGGGAGTAGAGAGGCTGGCAGGTTTCCTGTTGTAAAGTCTGTAATACATGCATATACAAGCTCTACAGTGTTTTGATCAAAAGATCACCACCTTAGAAGGGAAGCAGAAACTGAAAGAAGTTATTACTCTGAAAGTAAACAACAACCTACCGCTTCCCTCCATTCTAAAGGGCTCAGCTGAACGGATGAGTCCTATTATGTGCTTACCAATTGCTAAGTTTCCCAAATGATGGACGGGGAACCACTGCAGCATTATGGAAGTCTTTGTAGGTGAGTTGCTGGCCTGACAGCAATTAATGTTAGAGATTATTTGGGGAATCATAATCCACTTTTCAATTTATCTGAGTTCTCAAAGTAGAAAATAATATTAAACCCCACAAAACAGATAGTAACACATCAGGTGGAAAATACAAACACCAGCAATTAGAAGGAGGAGGAGAAGGAGATTGGATTTATACCCCACCCTTCACTCGGTGTCTCAGAGCAGCTTACAAACTCCTTTCCCTTCCCCTCCCCACAACAGACACCCTGTGAGGTAGGTGGGGCTGAGAGAGCTCTGACAGAAAACATCTTTTTCAAGAACAGCCCTGCCAGAACTATGGCTTGCCCCAGGTCATCCAGCAGCTGCAAGTGGAGGAGTGGGGAATCAAACCTGGTTCTCCCAGATTAGAGTCCTCGCACTTAACCACTGCACTAAACTGGCTGTAATGGCTGGGAGAATAATAATGCACAGAAGACTACTGAAGAGACAAGATCCAGGTTGGGGTGGCAGTTACCTTAAAAAAGAACTGTCCCAACAGGATTTGTTGTTGTAAGGCCAAAACTTAAACAGACATTCACCTACTTAACCAGAACCCACCAACAGGCTTGAATGACCAAAAGTGCAGTCCTAAACAGAGTTACACCCTTCTAAGGATTGTACTGCAATTCATTTTAGATGCACCTATGTGGTAAACAGTTCAGACACATCAAGCTGTCACGTTTATCACGAACATAAACAGCCTATGATATGGACTCTTCCTGGCCTCTGAATTTCAAAACCAGGAGGCAACATCAGGGGAAGGCCTCGGCCTCTATGGCCTGTTGTTGGCTGTCCAGAGGGACTGGTTGACCACTGTGTGAGACAGGATGCTAAACTAGATGGGCTATTGGTGTGATCCAGCAGGGCTCTTCTTATATTCTTATAATGTAGCCATTGTCCCTCTGCCAGAAGGATATGACCCTTTT